TTGGCTTGCACGCTTTTTGGCCCCTAAAAGAGAACAAAGTCTAGGGAAGTATTTATATATACATATAAAGTTGTAATCTCTGTTATCTGTCTGTTAGTTTGTCCGATCATAACTCGGGAACCCCTGGACCAATTTGCATCATATTTTGATCGGGGAACTCGGGAATGTTTTTAGCTTGAGATACTAAGTTGAGTGGGTTGACTTTAATAACGAAAATTTAGTTTCCCAGTAAAATCGCTCAAGTGCGGGTAAAAGGCAGGAGTAACTCTTAGTAACCTTGGCAGCGCTGGGTTCCCAAGCTAGTCTCTTTTTGTTTGTATGTATGTCCGATCTTAACTCAGGAACCCTTGACTGATTTGCCCGAAATTTTACTAAGGAACTTGTTAGAACAAGGTGAATTTTCTTAGCTTGGTTTAAAATGTCTAAGCTGAATGGGTTGAATATTAAAAGAAAAGTTAATTTTCCAGACAAAGCTGGGTTTTCAAGCCAATAAGGTATAGAATAGAAGGTTGCAGTGCTTATTTACTTATCTTTGCTCTTCAATAAACGTTTACTTTCTCACTCACTGCATCAACTCCACAGAGAATGGAGTTAAAGCTTAACTCTGATGTACACAACCGACCTCCTTATTAATTAGTTAATAGAATGGTCGGTTCTTCCATCACGATATGTTTACGTATCTAACACTGTACACTTGTATATATAGAGTGATCGTATTTCTAAGGGGGATTTTATGGAATTGATAAATTTTTAGTTTTTCTTTCTGTATATAAAGAGAATTCGAGAATGTTGACTGCAAACATTTGACAATTTTCAATTATCTCCATTTTAATACCCCCAAGAAATGCGATCCTTCTATATACAAGAGTACAGTGTTGATTACGTAAACTTATCGCGATGGAAACTACCGACCACTCTATTAATTAATTAATTATTAGGGAGGTCGGTTGTGTACATCAGAGTTAAACTTTACCCCTTCGTTTCCTTTCTCTATGACTCACTAATTGTTTTTGTTTGTCTATTTGTTTATTTAAAACATTTCAAAAATGCAAAACAAAATGAAGCCTAAAGAAGATCTTTGCTGGTCATTTTTTGCATCAGATATACTGCTAATACTCTTGAATTTCAGCTGAAAAAATGAAAGGGGTTATAGGCTTACGCCGAAAAATAATCGCTTTTGATCGCTACTAATCTTACTTCTATCTGTTGCGTCTATAAGGAGAAAATTGTTAAAAACTACTTATACTAAAGAACGTAGCGTCCATTGAAAATTCAGAAAGATGCAATATACGACTCATGTCGTAAAATAATCATTCAGATATTACAACCAAAAGTCATTGATTATTTTGCTACGCATTCATATATAGTTATTATTTCATAATATTTGTTATTTGTTTTATATACAATGCACTAGGTTGATTTTCTTACGATCCAAGTCGTATATTGCAACTTTCTGAATTTGTATGGACGCTACGTTCTTCAGTTTAAGTCGTTTTTAACAATTTTCTCCTTTTAGACGAAACAAATAGAGAAGTAAGACTAGTATAGCGAAAAAGCGATTATTTTTTGTCGCAAGCCTATATACCCCCTTTAATTTTTCGCGAACTCTCCCTTTAATATACAATATACATGGTATACAAGCTTTAAACTCATCTTTCATTAATTCTGCAGCTAAGGCTAGGAATCCAGCCTTGGTCTACTTTTGAAAAAAAATCGTAAAAATCTTCTTTTTCATATTCTTTGTTGAAGATGATTTTGTGAGCTAAGCAACATTTGTCATCATTTCATGCCATATACTGTTCAACTACACTTTTTAACTCATGATTACACCCATGACACTAAGCTGCTTATAGGGAAATTGGCGAAAACCTGGTCAACCTGAACTGTTTTCTCTCATGGGGATGTAATATTATTATTGTGATGATGATAATGTCAAATTTTTAACAAATTGTCATGTTTATGCAATAAATATTTGATTTGATTTTTCATCCTAATTCTTTACTTAGCTATCCAAAACAATTTATGTCGTTTTTTCAACGTCTAGCTGTAGCTGATAATTAACCTTCTCTAGAGATATTTAGAAATATTTAACCTAGAGATACGAGATAAGAGTGAGCCCATTATGAAGAATCTGAATGATAAACAACATTTTATGCATCTGAAACATTACGCAAGTCGAAAAAGATAAATTATGAAACTTTAAGAAAAACATTTGATTCATTTACAGGGTGTCCCACGAAACATGACAGTTGGTAAATAGTTCCGAATTTCGTCTTCCATATACTGTATTAGATATTAATGGCTGTTTGCAGTTTATTACGTTAAAAAAATCTTTTGCCCAAGTATATTTTACTTTGAAATTAATTTTACTATAGTATGACTTAACTTATTATGAAAGAAGACATTCTATACTATTTACCAACTGTCATGTTTCGTGAGACACCCTGTATATCCTGTAGGAAAAGTATATCAGAAAGGTATCGAAATTATTAAAAAGCCTGTAAGTGATTTTTAACAATTTCTTCTTTTTACCAATTTCCGATTAAAAAAATATTCAATGTATCAAGCTGATTACAATTTTCAAATTGGAATATTTTTATGAAAACAAAACATAGTAAATTAAAAATCAAAGTCGGTCCCTTTAAATTAATTAATAATTTTTAAATTAAAAGTACGTTTATTTAATTTACTTTAAATACTATGATACATTTATAAATGCAATCCATTATTCTACATAGTTTGCTTGTACATATATAAATATGGCGAATAAAAAAACGGTTGAAAAAACGTAAATATTGCGGCGAGCTATAAAAGTGAAAATTCACTGGGATCACTTCTTGTATAATCAGAAAGATTTTTTGAGGAGTCTAATGTTTTTTTGTCTTTTTGATGTTTTCATCCATCTTCACTCTCTACATATCCCGTACTCCTGTACCGTACCTGAAATAAAAAGAATGAGCAGTGTACTGCAATTGTACTGCAAAGAAACGGATCTTTACAATCTATAATTATCAAATCTCTGTATCTTTACAACCTGATGGTGTAAACCTGGTGGCTATCAAAATCTATAGTTTGAAATATCAAAGGTCTGCAACATCAGGTTAACAAATTGATATAAGGACAAGAAAAATAGATTTTGTGGCAAGTAATCAGATTTTTGGGCTTTCATTATAACTAGGAAACATTTTTTTAGTGCAATACATTTTTTTAGAAAAAACCTGACATCTAAATTTGCAGAAATATAAATATTAAAAATGTTGCAAATATTTAGCACAGCATAAGTTTGTTTGCAAAAGATAAGAATATGTTTAATTAAATTGAGGAATCACGGGAAACCTGTTATGATAGTAAACCCTAATATATTTGCAAAAGAGTGGGGTGGGGGGAATAATTGCAGGGTTGATATGTTAGGGGTGGTGAATGAGTAGAAAGGAGGGGGCAGGGGTACGGCTATAGGGAGTAGTCAATCATAGTAAATATTGATATTGAAAACAATAAAAAAAATTATTACTAATAAAATTCAGTACAACGCAAAAATGAGATAATATCTATTTATGAATATTGTACACAAATAATCCGATGGTACTGTACAAAGGATTTAGGTTGAAGGAGGATGAAACCACGTGTTTCCGGGTCGATATTATACCACAGGAAAATACCGGTATATTATACTACTAGGAACACCGGTTTGAATACAGTATCAAACAAAGTAAACTTCATGAATAAAAATCTAGAAACTTTTTAATAAGATTATAAATCATGCTTGCATCACTTTTCAATGCAATTGTTTTTACTATTTTATCTTTCTATTTTTCTATCTAACTAACTTGGCATAAAGTTTACTGTTACTGTGGGACAGAGGAGTTCTGTATTGATCAATACTTGGGATAACAGGGGGATACTGGAGTATATTTAGAATACTGGAATATACCCAGAATACTGGAGTATACCCGGGATACTGGAGTATATCCAGGATACTGGAGTATACCGAGGATACTGGAGTATATCCAGGATACTGGAATATATACAGGATACTGGAATATATACAGGATACTGGAATATATCCAGGATACTGGAATATATATACAGGATACTGGAATATATACAGGATACTGCAGTATATACAGGATACTGGAGTATACCCAGAATACTGGAGTATACCCGGGATACTGGAGTATATCCAGGATACTGGAGCATACCGAGGATACTGAAGTATACCCAGGATATTGGAGTATATCCAGGATACTGGAGTATATCCAGGATACTAAATCCAGGATGCTGGAGTATACCCAGGATATTGGAGTATACCCATGATACTGGAGTATACCCAGGATACTGGAATATACCCAGGATACTGGAGTATACCCAGGATACTGGAGTATACCCAGGATACTGGAACATACCCAGGAAACTGGAGTATACCCAGGATACTAGAGTATACCCAGTATACTGGAGCATACCCAGTATACTGGAGTATATCCAGGATACTGGAGTATATCCAGGATACTGGAATATACCCACTACCCAGGATACTGGAATATACCCAGGATACTGGATTATACCCAGGATATACCATGAAATAATGAGGGGTGGGAGGGAGGGGTGGAGCATGACAAAATAGTTATCAAACAATGATTAAATCTAAAAATTCAATTAATTTCTAACTGAACTTCACCCGGCCCGTGGCAATGCCGCGTCGGTTCTAAGATCCACCATCAATCAATCATAGGAATCTACAACAGTTAGTTTACTACACCTCAATCGTCTTTGATAAATCGAAGGATGTGATGGGAGAGGGGATTGAGGGGGTAGTGAAGTTGTGTATTGCAAGAATAAAAATTAAGAATGAATAAGAAAATCTCAAAAATGTGTTGCATGATCAAGATTCAGACAATATAGATCAATTAATCTAACAATCAAAAATCAACAACCATTTATCTATTCTAGCAGATATTTACATCGTTTCCCGGGGCAATAAAGCATCAATCCATCAATAGATCCATCCCATCATACATTCATCTATCTATCAATAGATCCATCCATCCATCTCTCCATGATCTACTAACCTGAATAATCTCCTTAACGAGTAGTTTGTCTGTGGACATCTTGGCTTTCTTCATGACGGAGACGTTGTTCCCAACCCAGGTGACCAGGAGGAACCGGGACCTTTTAGACATCTCATCTCCGGTCTAAACATTCATTTATTTATATCATTTATCCATGCTTTTATTCATTAATTTTATTCTTTCATTCATTTATAGATTCTTTTATACGTTTATTTATTCTTTTATTCATTTATTTATTATTGTATTCATTTTCATTCATTCTTTTAGTCATTATTTTATTCATTTTAATTCATTCTCTTATTCATTTATTAATTTTTCTTAAAAATGTATTCATTCTTTTAATAATTTATTCATTCTTTTTTTAAACATTTATTTATGCTTTAACTCATTTATTCATTCTTTTAACCATTCTTCATTTTGTATTCATTTATTTATTTTTTTATTTAATATTTATCCTTTTATTTATTTATTCATTTTTTATTCATCTATTCATTATTTTATTCATTACCTATTTATATTTTTATTTATTTATTAATTTTTCTTTTAATTCATTCTGTTATTCATTCTTTTATTCATTTATTTATTCGTTTATACGTTTATTCATTATATTATTCATTTATTTATTCTTTTATTCATATATTCATGATTTTATTAATCTATATATAAATTTGGCTTGTCTGTCTGTCTGTCTGTTTGTCTGTTTGTTTGTTTGTATCCAATAAACGACAAAACGGCTAAACAGATCGGGCCCAAATTTTTTGTGGGACATCACGTGACCACAAGGAGGGTTTATGAATGATCAAAATTTCAAATATTTGTCTCCATCAAAATTCGATCTTCATTAAATTTTTTTGTGAAAATCCGCGAATTATTTTTGTTTTGTTTTACGATGTACACAAAGAGAACATGTTCACAATTACTTTAGAAGATGGACGCGAAGCGCCCTATAAGGCTAGTTTTTATAAATTATTTTATTCATTTATTCATTCTTTTATTCGATCCTTTAATTTATTCTGCCAGAGAAACAAAATATTGAAAACAAAACCTCAAATTTTGAAAAGCAACGTTGTTCAGAGATTTAAAATTGCCGAATTTTAGGCTGAAAACTTGATTGAACAAAAGCCTGAACAGAGGATATTTTTATTAGGTATAAGGCATATAAATGAGGGGGGGGGGGCTAAACACATACCTTTAGTGAATAATGTTTCGAAATTTTTAAAAGATAAAATGAATTTTGTCTGAGAATTCATGTCCTTCAACGAATTAGTAATTCCTTAATACATTGAATATAATTTTTGCAATCAAAGTTTTATTTGATTCAAAACTCATATTTTAATTAGCCTTTAATAATTCTTACTAAATTCAATAAAATTAATTTGCATTTAGCAAGAATTTTTCGTTAGTTGAAAGCTTAATGACAAGTTCTGCAAATTTGAAATAAAACAGATATTTCTAATTTATTGATTGGATGGAAACATTTAATATTAAGTTACTTGGTTTAAGACAGAAATGTTGTATTTTTTGTCCTGGGTTTCATTTTTAAATATTTTTTTTTTTTTTTGGGGGGGGGTTGGGGATTTAAATTTTGGTTCTTTAAAGTTTGGCAAACATTGTTTCATTTTAAATATTTTGTTTGATGACACTTGAAGTAATTAATATTGTTGGTGGGGTTTATTGCCTGGATCTTGATATATCCGAACCCCCTGTCATCTGGTTTATTACCTGGATCTTGATATATCCGAACCCCCTGTCATCTGGTTTATTACCTGGATCTTGATATATCCGAACCCCCTGTCATCTGGTTTATTTCCTGGATCTTGATATATCCGAACCCCCTGTCATCTGGTTTATTACCTGGATCTTGATATATATCCGAACCCCCTGTCATCTGGTTTATTACCTGGATCTTGATATATCCGAACCCCCTGTCATCTGATCCAAACTGAGATTTAAACTCAGAGAACTCAGATCCAGTCCCACTCACACTCAACATATTCTCAGAATCAAACTTAAATGCAGCCCTGAAATTATTCATAATAATAAGAACCATAATAGTATTAATAATGCTGATGATACTAATAATAATGACAGTGATAAAATTGATAGTAATAATAATAATAATCATAATAATAATAATAATCATAATAATAATAATAATCATAATAATAATAGTATTAACAACAAAAATTAAAAAAGAAAACAATCATGATAATATTACAAAATAATAATTATACGATGAAAATTATTATATATAATAACAATAAAAATAATGATACAAATGGGCAAACATTTCTTTTAGAAGATGAATGACATTGCGCGCGTATAAATAAATACTAACCACTCTACGCCATTGTTGTCCTCCATGACCTGGGTGTACGCATCTCGGATCGCGTCACGGTCCAATGAAGTCGCCATGTTGTGCTAAAATTAAAAAGAAAATCATTCAAAACTCTGATTAGCTTGTTTTGAACTTTTAGTTCTTAAGCTATTTTAATCTAGCTTTTGCAATATACAAAAAAAAGATTTGACAATTGAGCAATCGAGAAAAATACTAATAATGGTCCTATGGCCTTGAACGTATTATAATGTACGCAACTTTTCATGTTTATTTGACACGCAGTTTAATACAATTTTTTAATTTATACAATTATTCTGAGTCATCTAATTATTGTGCTGAAATCAAGCTAAGGCATTCATGCAAGTTAAGCCGTATCTTGTATTCAATCTGAGGCCTAAATACTAGAAGCAGGCAGTACCTAGGCCCTATTCAGGCAGTCAGACCGTTAATCTAATATACAAAAGGGCAGAATGCGTGCTTAGCATCAGAGCAAATATCTTAACTCTGGGATATATAATCCAGTATCCAGTATCCAAACTATATATCTTAACTCTGGGTTATATAATCCAGTATCCAGTATCCAGACTAAATATCTTAACTCTTGGTTATATAACCCAGTATCCAGTATCCAGAATATATATCTCATCTCTGGGTTTTCTTGTCTAGTATCCAGTATCCAGAAAAAATATCTTAACTCGTGGTTATCTAATCCAGTATCCAGTAATAATCAAAATATATTATTTCCGGGTATATCGTATCCAGAATTCAGTGTCCAGACTAATATCTTAACTCTGGGTTATCTAATCCAGTACCCAGACTAAATATGCAACTAACTAATTTGCATTTACTTTTGTCGTGCTCAATCAACACTGGAGCAATAACAAATCCTAATCTAAACTTTGCTCTTATATTTTATCTAGTTAATTTTCTTATAGATTGCTACTGGTTATAATATTAACTATACATAATAAGATGGTTAAAGGAATTGAGTTTTTCTGAACCCAATATCTTTGCAACCTGATGGTGTACACCTTTGATATTTCAAACTTGGATTAATTTATCTATAAATATCAATAGTTTGAAATATCTAAGGTCTACGACATTGGGTTACAAAGATATAGAGATTAGAAAACCATAGTTTGTGGAAAGAACTCAGTTCCTTTATGCAATATTAATATTAATTTTGTGACCTTATAGCTCCTATAGTTTTGATTTTATGCACATAGAGTGGTAGGCGAATAAAACAATACAAGAAAGGCGACTTTCGATCTCAATTTTGATTCAAGCTTTGAAACACCAAAACATAGAAGTCAAGATAAGCTGTTAATTAAAAAAGCTTCTCTTTATATACTTGTAAACTTGAAAATCGAAAAAAGCATGTTAACAATTAAAACTTCAAAAAAGAAGTCGTCTTCATTGTATTTTTATAACGACCTACCACTGTATTTGAAATTTAAAACATTATTCTCTGAATAATAGGAGTTATAATTGAAAATATTTAAGATTGCAATCCTACCGAGCAATTTACGTGGCCATGGCTTTATAAACGATATGTTTTGAAGAGAAGCTGTTATTCAAATACAATTATTGCAGAGTGTATTTATCCCACTCAACCGAGTTAAAGACTAGAATTTAAATTTANTTTGAGCACCGCTGCTATTGTCTAGGGAATATATATATATATATATATAAAGAAGAAGAACAGGGAAACAACGTTAATTCATCATATTTTCAGCATCTACTGATGTCAAGGCCTGGCTACACATTTTAAAATAAAGATGTTGAACCCATGGACCTACATGGAGGTAACTAGGGTTCAACTGTAAATATTTATATATTTTTAATTTTTCATAAAAAAACCTTTTTTAAATAAACTGTTAAAAAAAAGTTATTTTCATTTCTATGTTATTTTAACAAAAAAAAGACAGGTTACATACATATATATATTGAATTTAGACAACTTGAAGTTTGAAAAGAACATACAAAATCTTTAAGTTAAAAATTTCCGATTTGGACAGTCTCTTAAAATTATTTGATGTAATGTATAGATATATTATTACATACGTAGTTTTAGATCAATCATTAATTTTACTATTTGAATATTACAGGCCTAATACACATATATATATATATAATATAGGCACAATATATTCATTTCAAGGTAAATTACCAACCATAATATTCTTGAATTTCCATATTAAAGTTTAAGAGAGAAGTTTTAGAATTTAATTTTCCTCCGGCAGTGTTTTAGTTAAACCGACCATATATCTTGCAAAATCATTATTTTCATGGGCAAATCCAACCTTTTCATCATTGAAAAAAGATAAATGTATTCATAATATATAAATGAACGAACCCTATGTCTAAGCTAAAAGTTTCTAAAACCATTAAAAATTAATAAAAACTGAAAGCTTACTGCATGCTCAAATCAAATGTTAGTTTTGTCTAATCTAAATTCCAAGCATATTTGTTTAGACTGATGCATCTAAATTTAAATTCCTGGTTCCGCTCGGATTCAAACAATTATTTTAATAAAAATATCCTCTTTGTTCAAAAAGTGAAATAAATGAGTATCAAGCACGAAAGAATTCAATAAATTCTTTTTTACTAATTTGAAATTACAGTTAAACCCTTTGAATATGCTTTATTCAATATCAATATTAATATTTTTATGACTTACGTCTGGGAATTAGAAGCATAAAGGTTTATTCTGGAAACAAGTTGGATTAAATAAAGACCTAACTTAGAATTTAAATAGTTGACAAGTATCAGTGGTTGCATACTAGGTTTCCAGGCCAAAATCTCAAGTTGTCTTGGTTCAATAACATGATGTTAAACATTGTTCAGATGCCAAGCTGACTTTAAATAGACTGTTATTTATAAATATGTTTATTTGTGGTTAACAGCAAATATAGATGTAAAATGTTATACTGCCTGCATGTATACATATGTATACAGTATACTGTATGCCAAAGTGGGTTATGTTAATCCTGGGACTCAAGTATACAAGATATTCGATCATATAAATTTCATTTCATTTCATTTCAAACCTTCATATCATTAGTTCTTAGTCCTTCAACCCTTCAAACCTTCATGTCATTAGTTCTTGGTCCTTCAAACCTTCAAACCTTCATGTCATTAGTTCTTGGTCCTTCAAACCTTCATATCATTAGATATTACTATTAGTCCTTTAAACCTTAATATCATTAGCTCATAGTCCATCAAACCTTCAAACCTTCATATCATTAGCTCTTGGTCCTACAAACCTTCATATCATTAGATATTACTATTAGTCCTATTACCCTAAATATCATTAGCTCATTGTCCACCAAACATTAAACCTTCATATCGCTAGCTCTTAGGCCTTCAAATCTTCATATAATTATTTCTGAGTCCTTCAAACCTTCAAACTTTCATATTATTAGCTCTTAGCCCTTCAAACCTTCAATCTTTCATATTATTAGCTCTTAGCCCTTCAATCCTTTAAACATTCAATCCATGTTCTTCCTTATCCCTTTAATCCTAAAATCCTTTAAATCTTCTTGACAAATGCAATTCATTTTACCCTTTCATAATTAAAACCTTAAAACCTTTAATCATCGTACCCATTCAATTATTTAGAAATTCTTTAAAATTTTAATTCTTAAATTCTAGAAACCTTAAATTAATTGTACACCCCTGATAAAATTAAAACCCTATAGAGCCACAAACCTTGAATTATCTTATCCGTTAAATTCATTAAATCAAATCCCTTCAAACTTTTTAACCTTTAACCTTTGAGTAAGTATCTCTAGTATAAAATCTTTAAATCCCAAATTTCCGATTGTTTCAACCTAGTTTCATGTATGCTATAATGCATTCCATACCAAAAGAGAAGTTGTGAAAACATTTTTAGACTTTACCTTTTTAGGATTGGTGATTTCATCGTTAGGTTTAGACTTGAAGTTATTCGCACTACCATCAAAAGCTCCAGTATAGAGCTTAGTAATATTATCATTTCTCCTGGGACGGTTTGGAGAAGATATCTCAGCTCCAGGTTCTGATTTATTAAGAAATGCTGCTGTATAGAGCTGTGTAATATCCTTGACTGGTTTCCCTCCTCTAGCTCTCTCTAGTTTAGGACTCTGATTCTCCTTGTGTAGACTAGCAGTGTAGATCTGGGTTATATCTCCAACAGGTTTACTCCGACCGATCTAGTCAAAGAGAATAGATAAGTATAGAGTGGAATTAAGTCTAAAAAAGTGTAAAACCACCATGTTTTTGTGGTGTACTGCATATATCTGTGAACATTTACTTTGAACTCCTTTTCAGACTTAAGGGACATAACAAATTCATACCGAGGGATATCTTATTTCCCTTCTGTTATAATCTCTGTTCTGTGAATCTAGTATTTAATAATAATAAGTATTTCATGTCACAGTAACACGATTCAGAAATATTCAGCACAATTAAAGGGAGTGTTCGCGAATAGTAAAGAGTTATCAATTTTTAGCTAGAAAACGTTAAGTGAATGTGATATTATATTTAAAGTTTGTGCTCAGACACAAATTTAAAGAATGCCATTGTATATCTTTAAATGAAGTTGAATCGACATACTTTTTTAGATTTATTGTTTCCTTCAACAAGTTTTTAGACCTGTTTTTATAAACCTATACATTTTTAATTGTTGGCTCATGTTTATTTAATGACTCTGTATCCGTTGGTTTCTGTGTGTTGTAGGATATGATATCGCTAATATTTCCTAATGTTTGATTTATTTTCTATTGTTTAAATTCAATTCTTTCATAAATATCTGTGATAAACTGATTAGACACGGTTTGGGTTCTGTTATTGCAGGAGGGGAGGAGGGTTCAATTATTGCCTAATCTCTAATTAAAGGGACTGTATGGGGAATAATATCAAGCAATAACCTATTTAAAGAGAAGCTTATACGAAATCTTGAAAATCAAAACAATTAAAAGACATTGAAGATGAGAAATGATCATTGATTTATTTCAATATCATTAGAATGGTATTGAATTAAATATTTTAAAAACGAAAAGGAGAACCACAAAAGTTACCTTTTCTGGATTAAAACCGTTGGATGAGTCAGGATGAAGAGCCTCAGTGTAAATCTTGGTAATATCCTTGGTTTGACTAGAACTAGGAGATACAACCTTAGTATGCGGAGTAGAGATAGGTTGGGCGGGTTCAGGAGACATCGAGGACGCACGTTCGTCGTAGGACGAGGAGCCATGGCTGCTTTTCCTCTCAGGGGAGGCTGATCTAGATCTGTCCTCGGGGGCTGGGGAGGCTGATCTAGATCTGTCCTCGGGGGCTGGGGATGGAGAACGGATTGCGGGGGCCTCGGGGGAAGGGGAGCGGACTGGAGAGGCGGATCTACGCTCAGCGTCAACCTTAGCAACCTCTTCAGCGACCTCCTCATCATCATCCTCTTCATCCTCATCCTCTTCCTTCTCATCCTCTTTCTCATCCTCAGATTCCGAGCTCTCAGCCTAAAATAAAAAATATTAAAATTCTCTTCAATATTTTAGAATATAAAATTATATATTGTGGGGCAAGGTTGTATACAAATGACAAATATTCAAAAAAAGATTTTATTTTAGTCTCAAGTTTATCGAAACTCTCTGAAACTAAAGAACTAACTTTACCCCGCGGACCAATACAGCACTAACTAATTTAATCTACATTTCCTCATTCAGTAAAATGTAAAAACTTTTCAGAACAATTTATTTTCTCGTCAAAATCTGAATATCCAGCCATCAATTATCTATCTATCTATCAAGATATTTACTCAGTATCAATATAACTAATTTTCTTTCTACGAATTTATTTATTTATAGATTAATTTATAATAATCTTTTATTTGTAACAGAATCTATATGTAAATAAATTAGTACTCCCATTTGCTTGTTTATATGTCCGATCATAACTCAGAAACCCCTTTACCGATTTGCTTCAAATTCTGATCGGGGAACTTTGTAGAACTACGGGAATGTTCTTAGCTCAGTTTAAAAGCTCTTCGTTAAATAGATTGACGTTTAGTTTCCAGTCAAGACTGAGTTGCCAAGCTATGTATGTAAAAGATAATTTTCAAGATTTATTTTTAATAATCTAAGTTTTGACGTAATTAAACTAGTATTTGAAACAGGTTGTTTATGAATAAAGAAACTAATAAAAGAAATTTTGAATTAAAAAACTGTGAAAAGAATTCCTGTTTCTTAATTCAGTTTAAACTAACAAAAGAATATATAACTATACATATATAACTTCAGTGAATTTATTAAAATTAAGGAGAAAAAATCCAAATATTTAAAAAAAAATTTGTCAAGGGTTTTCTTTCAATTGAACATTAATAAACAGATATAAAAACATTTATAATTATGCAAAATATATATAAATAGATAGATAGCGAAACATGTAAAATTATATTGAAAAAGTATATAAATATAAGGATATATAGGTATAGACAGATAGATACTTGACTTAGAAAGGTACATAGAAATATGCTTAGATAGACAGGTAGTCGGATAGATATTTAGATAGATAGATAGACGAAAATATATTTAGATAGATAGGTAGACAGATATTTAGATAGACAGGTAGACGGATATTTAGATAGACATGTAGACGGATATTTAGATAGACAGGTAGACGGATATTTAGATAGATAGGTAGACGGATATTTAGATAGATAGGTAGACGGATAGATAATTAGAAAGATAGGTAGACGGAAATATATTTAGATAGATAGGTAGACAGATATTTAGATAGATAGGTAGACGGAAATATATTTAGATAGATAGATAGGTAGATAGATAGATACAAAGATAAAGTGTAGATGACTTTAAAAAGTATGCAATATGCATATTGTATCCCTCTACTGAAGATGAATTTTAAGTTTAATATATTATATATTAACCAAGGTCAGTAACCTCTTCAGTTCTATAACTTGTATTTAAAAGGAAAAAAATATCTTTCTTCAAAAGCTTAAAAGGACTGTAAGCGTAATTTAAAGTGACCCGACATGCAAAGATGGCAATGCCCGATTTACAACCGTACCCTTCAAACCTTAAAAAGTTCAATATTGTGGAAGATATTTTCGTTATTCCAGATTTATTTCTGATAATTCCTGTATGTCGTCCTGCAGGAGAAATGCACAAATTAATTTTGACGAAAAACCGCATTTGAAAATTGTAAACATCATGATAGTTTGCTAGGTTATAGTTGTGAATCGAGCTGTCATCTTTGCATGCAAGGTCACTTAGGATTATCTTACAGTCCCTTTAAAGGAAGCTAAAACACCGGATACCCATCTTTCTCTATTTCTAAATGTTAAATATCTGCTTAATATTGTATAATGGTAAAATGGCTATTTTTTAATAAACCTAAAGGAAGCTCCTTTATTTAACCTAAACTGACATCTAGACATGGATATTTATATTTATATTCAGCTTCAAGCAGTGTAAACCTATCCTGTCAAAATCA